ACGCAGATAGCAAGAGTTCGCGTACCAACGTGGTACGTGGCTGAGAACAAAGAAGTACCTCAGGTACGTAAGTACGCGAATTATCGCACCCTGCGGTTAGGAAATGCTCTGCCGACAATCGTGGGTTTCCCCATCCACAATGTTGACAGGCCGGGTGGGTTAAGAAAAATACAGGTTGATCAGGATGAAATAAACTGGAAACGAAAACTAGAAATTGTAATATCACCTTTGTTGTAAGGAGTGGATAACTTTTGTTGACTTTTCTCAGTCCATCCAGCATCTTGGGCAGTTCTGAAGGGTTGTGAGGTTCTACAGCTATCTTCACCACAGAACATGTATTGAACTTCAGTGGACGGAATATTTGAGCCTTTCGAAAGAATAACAAATATTGAAATACAAGAAAAATGAAATGCTCATAAACAACACCACACAGTTCAGGATTCGCTCCTGGAGACCTGAGTCATCGTAAATTTTGTGTCTTATTATTCAACAATTTATAAGAGCTGCTCCCATCAGTTCAATTTCATAATCGATTAATCGTTATTAACAATTGATTAATCGTATATGATTAATTTATTTACGTTTGTAATTATTGTTTACTCAAGATTGCGCACTTTCTCGCGCACGCAGATTTCACACAAGTAGACAACTGACAAGACAATGACGATGTTTAGTTTACATTTGATGGCAACGTAGACCCAGAGAAAGCCATTTTGAAAATTTTTCAATTTCAAAAGTTAATAAAACCGCCCATGAAAAGAAGTTTTAAAATATATGCAGACCAAATGACTCAACATGTTATAGCACTACTAAGGATCGAAAAAACTTAAATCGGGATCAATCTACAGTATCATCATGTGCAGGATTATCCGATTATTGTTAAGTACAATCGAATGCAGAGAAAACGAAAACTAATCGAATAATTGGGAGCAGCTCTAACATTTGTGTTGAGTGCAGAACGAATTTGATGTTTATTGGTTTGCATCTAAGGATGAACACCTGCAGATAAAACACTGATTACTCTCAGTTGTATGTCGTGTAATCTTGTCTTCCCACACGTCGTGAAAGTATTTAAGAACAATAATCATACTTCTTCGCTATCTTCAACTTGAGTTACAGTAGATGTTTTCACAATTGGTTCATCAATGCCCTCAATTAACACCCAGTTTCCAGCTGGGATTCTGTTTACTTCAATGTTGTATCTGATGCAGGAAAGTGGAGAAAACATGAAATAACTTATGCAATACTAATTGTTATATAAGCATCATGTAAAGGCAAACGACTCTTCATTTTTCAATTAGGGTAACAGAGCAAGCTCGATATTGGCAACATCACAACGCATGTTACTTTTATTATAATAGAGTTACAACCAAACCGGATGTTCTCTTGCGAGCAACATTGCAATATTGTCCCACAATATTGCAATTTTGATAGTCAGATTGCTCTGAGCAATTTGACGCGAACAAATTGCAAAGCGACGCGAACAAATTGCAAGTTGAAATTGACAAACGATTTGCAAACAAAGTCTCTGATTGGACTATAAGTAAAAGGGAAGATCCAATCCAATTGCTCAGACAATTTGATTGGCTTAAATAGTCCAATTTGAATAGTCCAATCAGAGGCTTTGTTTACAAATCTTTTGTGAATTTCAACTTGCAATTTGTTCGCGTCGCTTGCAAATTGCTCAGAGCAATCTGCCTATCAAATTGCAATATTGTGGCACATTATTGCAATGTAATTGCTAGCAAGAGAACATCCGATTTGACTGTAAAATGGAACCTACCTTGCTTCTGGGATCCATAGCCTGCCAATCTATCAACAACAGAAGAGCATTTATTTTAACCAAACATTATACGGCACACAATCGTGCTGACAGCCTTACATGAATTACGCGAGGCTTGTCTCCATACACGTAGACGATTACGATACTACCACGGGATTCCAAGAATTCTACTTACATTTCCTATCCTTGAATCTTCCTCATCTTCAAGTGTGTAATTTTCTCCAAGAATTTTCACTTGTTGACCGGCATAAACTAAAACAACGTGAAACAACACATAAATGGCAGATGTCTTGACGCAGATGATCCGTCTGTTTGCGCGCGTTTATACACAGACGAGTTGTCAGTTGGCCAAGTTCGTGCTGACAAATCTTCCGTCATAAATCTGGCCATCCAGAAGAAAAATGCCGTCTTGAAAATTCAATATATGAACTGAAATAGGCATCGATTTGATAAAACCACTTCCATATTTTCTTAGCGATTTTTTTCATGCAGATGGCTAAAAGGTTCTGAGTTGATTAGCTTTGAAACAATACAAGTACTGCGGTAGCTTACCTGTGCCACTTAATACTCTTCCTAAAACATGGAATGCTGTTGCATCACGGGATGGATATTGTTTTGTTGTATGAATCATCAGTGGACCCTAAACGAGGCAAAATTTAAAGAATCTGTTCGTCAGCGCTACGATGTTTGCATGTAAGGATAAACAGTTTTAGGACTCATGCTAATAAGGCCAGACCTTTCCATACATGATTATGAGAACCGCTGGCTCACATAAAATCATTTGGCGTTTAATAATATAAACTACTACTGGAATAAAATATAAAAGATGCTACAGATGACAAAGATTGAACTTGGTTCTGCCATAGACAGACTCTTTTTTCTTCCAACATACAGACCATTCTTTTTGGAAAAAACTAACCCCATAAAACCAAGAAACGCCAATGTTTGTAATCTTATTTTTCAAGTATAACCGCGTCATACACAAGCTCGAAGATAAAAACATCGTCCATTCTCACATAAATCGTCCATATTCGGCGATCCAAGCACTTGCCAGGCAGTGAGGATAACAATTTCACGTGGGTCTGAGAAATTTCTTGGTTCTACTCCCGAAAGCCCGAAAGCTCAGAGTTGTTTACTTGTTTTGAGTTTTTTTAAAAGCCAAAAGAAGCCTGTATTATGGTAAGTTTGAAGCAAATTTTTCTATATATAGGCCAAATGAGTTTTCATATTCGTCGTAGTTTAAATATTATTTGTTTTTATATCATATTGTACACTATTTTACTGTCATGAACATTTAGCAAATTGTTCGCTCGGTTTGTTTACATATATTTCGTTGCTAAAAAGTATAATTTTTCTTTTTTGTTTTTCAAATTCATCAGTCTAATCATCAGAGTGGCCCCAATCAAGCTGTAGACAGCGATACGCAGGCTCAGTGATCATGCAAAGAGGTACATAAGTGAACTTAGACTCTGAGTACATCCTGTACACAATGACTCGTATTAAGATAATTATGATAAGTCTATTATTTTTATCGATATATAGTTGACAGAAAAGGACATATCCGGGTCAACAATTGGCAAGGATATTGAAAAAGCTACCAAAAATAACTCAAAATTTCGGATTTACAGTTTAAATCTTCAGAAACGAAAGCGGAGCTGTTTACACTGATGAATTTGAGAAAGAGAAAAGAAAACCGAGCGAACAATTTGCTAAATGTTCATGACAGTAAAATAATGTACAATCTAATATAAAAACAAATAAAATTTATACGACGAATATGAAAACTCATTTGGCCTATATATATATATAGAAAAATTTACTTCAAACTTACCATAATACAGACTTCTTTTGGCTTTAAAAAAAACTCAAAACAAGTAAACAACTCTGAGCTTTCGGGATTTTCTCCGCAAACTACGTCACAAGCCTGCTGACGTCAACCTTTTTATAAAGGTCTATTCTGGTCATTCAAATTGGCTGATTATGATCACGTGATATGGAATAATCGCGTTCCAGCACGCTCAGCCGTGCAATGGAAGAAAACGTATAGTACAAAAATGCACGGTTTGGTGGTTTTCAGTACACTCCATCCGTCAAAATCTTAATCGTATCCTATTATATTGACTTACATCAGCATCACACTCGTACATGGCTTGCGCCAGTTCTGTATCTAATGCTCCATTATATGTATGTTCAACCTAAAGTAAAGAATTCGTATTGAAATCATTTTCATTCTACTCGAAGTTTAAGTTAAAACAAGTAATATATTATTCACTGATGAGGACCCGGGCTTGTGGTTGCGGATCGAGGGCTTTACTGTGATGGGGTATTTTCGCCAAGCAAACCTTCAATCCTGGCAAAAATTGTGGACAGCGCGTGCGTATACACAAAACTGTACCTGGCTTGCCCAATCATATCTTCGCAATGCAACAATTTTGAACTTCCCCTCCTTCCAACTTACAAAAAAATCAAAATAATCATAAGAATACGTACTTTCGTTTTTGCGAAATCCTTTGGTGATTTAATATGTTGAACACACATGTCAACAAAACCTTAACATAATAAATATCGTTAACCATAAAGCCTCGCTCAAACGAGGATAAGAGTTGATGAAAGTTGATGAGAGTTGATGAGTGTTGATGAGAGTTGATGAGAGTTGATGAGAGTTGATGAGTGTTGATGAGAGTTGATGAGTGTTGATGAGAGTTGATGAGAGTTGATGAGAGTTGATAAGAGTTGATGAGAGTTGATGAGAGTTGATGAGAGTTGATGAGAGTTGATGAGAGTTGATGAGAGTTGATGAGTGTTGATGAGAGTTGATGAGAGTTGATGAGAATTGATGAGTGTTGATGAGAGTTGACAGTCAGGTTGGCAGTCACGCATTATTACGGGGGACATTTCAAGCTTTAGATTAACTTCTCTCATTGGTCCGGCTGTATGCAATGTTGTAGCTTTTATGGCTTAAAATGTTTCTGTTGCTTATACATAGGATAGAAGAGAATAAAGGTTTGTACTATCCTATCCTATGTATAATAGAAATATTTTAAGGTTTAAAAACTTCAACATTGCATGCAACCATTGATATATGTTTTTTGAAGTAAAGACTGGATCTTGTGGTTGGCACTATGGCACATGCATAGAAGTTCCGATTCCGAGCTACACTGTACATACGCCTATACTGTAGCATAACGTTACGCAAAATTGGGATATATTATGATACCATATACACAGGACCGC